GATGGAATGCTGGGGTGCACCAGGAAGAGTGTGGCCTGCAGGTTGAGGGAGGTGACCTTCCCCCTCTAGTCGGCCCTCGTGAGGCCACATCTGGAGTGCTGTGCTCCGTTCTGAGCTCCTCAGTACAAGAGAGACAAGGTGCCAGGGTCCAGTGAGGGTCACGAAGATGATTTGGGGTCCGGAGCATCTCTCTTGTGAGGGGAGACGTGAGACCTGGACCTGTTTTAGTCTAGAGAAAACGGAGAGGGGATCTCGTTAATCCATATAAATATCTTAAAGACAGGTGTCAAGAGGATGGTGCCAGACCCTTTTCAGTGCCCAGACACAGGACAAGGAGTAATGGCCATAAACTAACACTTAAGATATTTCACCTCAACATGAGGAGGAACCTCTTTCCATTGAGGGTGGCAGAGCACTGGAACAGGTACCCAGGAAGGTCTCCCTCTCTGGAGATGTTCAAAACCCACTTGGACACATTCCTGTGTCACCTACCTTCCTGTCTAGGTAACCCTGCCTTGGCAGGGGGGTTGAAGCAAATGATCTTCAGAGATCCTTTACAACCCTAACAACTCTGTAATTCCATGAAGGAAAGATTTAATGGTTCTGCTTTGTGAAACATGTTACGCCTTTGGTGCCTCCTGGAAAGCAGGTGGTCATCTGTTGGCAATAAAGATAACAAACCAATTCTTTTATTTTCTTTTCACTGACACCAGGAAAAATGTCAGCCATTCCTCTGTTGCTGTGATAAAGAACCTTATCTGTGGTGGCAGACAGAGCCAAGCATAATAAAAAAAATCCACCCCAAAAATAATTTTGTTACCAAAGTAAACAAAAAAATATATGCTGAAGGCAGCTTTCCATTTCCCTACCCTTTGAAAGCCTGGATTTCTTTTCTAATGCTCTGCAGACAAACTTAATGCACTTAGATATTGTCAAACTCCAACTCCTCGAAACAAAAAACCACCCAATCTGCTGGATGAGTAGGCAGCACTTTGGAGTATTTCAATACCTGTTGATCCTTTAATCTGGCTGTAGGGCAGAGCAGGAAAAGGTAGATGTGGGAGAGAAACAAAGAGGGGTTATCTGAGAGGCAGGACCTTTCAAAGGAGGCTCTCTCCGAAATGAACCCTGGTGGTACTAACTGCTGATTTATTTGTGGTACAAATTCCTTCCAGTGCAGCAAACATTCCTCACAGAGTATTTCTCCCTAACACACAGCAGATAATTTTGTGAACTCAGACTGAGCAGTATGTTCAGCACATTCTCTTCCAGAAACAATTTAAAAAGTAACAGCTTCTTTTCTTCTTTCACACAATATCATGATACATATTGTGTCACATTGTCCTTTTCTGCTAATCTCAAACTTCAGCTGATTCAGTAAGAGAGCCTCAAATTTTGTTTACAGCAAAACCTCACTGCTTGGAGGCTTTCTACCTCAAACTATTTTATTGCTCCTCAGACCACGTCATATCAAGAATGTTTTTGTGCTATTCATGTGCTTCAAAAGTATTCTTCTTCTTTTGTCATAGGTCAGAATACCCCTTCTCAGTGAAAAACCTGAATAAGATATCTGAGAAATAATTGAAGACACTCTGGGACAGCATCATTTCTGCCCTTCCCTTTGGATTTTGCACTGTGGATGTGGTGTCCTGGCTCAGTCCCTTCCTTGCCCACCCCCATCCTGTTTGCTGACAGAACAATGTGAACAGCAGAAAAGGCCTCAACACTTTGCAAGTGCTGTTCAGCAATAACTAACACATCCCTGTGCTAGCAACACTGTTCTGGTCATAAATGAAAAGTAGCACTACAGGTGCTCTACAAAGAAAATTAATTCTATCCCAGCCAAAAGTAGTACAGTGGGATGCCAGACTGCACTAAAAATTATTAGTGTGATTTGTAGAGAGGGGATCACACTAAAGGGGTGAGATATTTGGAAAATGATACACTGAAATACATCTTATAAGTGTGTTAGTGGGTGTCTTGAAAGTTTATGATTTTTTTACCAGAATGTTCATTTAATTACCTCCTTCAAAAGACTTCCTTAATCCTTAAACAGCCAACTACACTTCTATACTGACATGGATTAATTTACAAGTCAAATTTTACTATGGCTGCTTTCCTAGCTCCTGTTACTGTGTTATTGTACTTGTACCTTTTAATTTGACACTGGTTTGCAGGAATTTTCTTGAATTTGAAAGTAGAACACAATGAAAAAGGCAGCTAAATTTTTTTTTCTTATTTTAACCTTCTTTCAAAAAAAAAAATTATCCTGGGTGTCTCACAAGTATTTTGAACTAATCTTTTGGAGTAACACAAGCAGAGTGAGCAAGGAAATTTATCAGAGTTTATAATGATGGTTGACTCTATGCAAGTTGTTAAGGGGTATTTTCATGTGAGAGAAGACCTTGTTCAGTTCCATTCTAATTTCCTTTTCTTTGGTAAGAGCATCCTCACTAACAACAAGGGTGCTGTAAGGTCACTCTGTTTGCACTTGCTTCACATGGCATCAAATATTTAAATGCTCATTAATTCAAAGAACAGGGGTGTGTGAGAATGACCCTTGTGCTCCTTGTTCAGGACATGTCCTTGAGATCTGTTACAGCTTGTTTACCTGCTGTAGTAGGGACTTCATCTACCCCAGGTGACAGCCATTTATCCAAAATGCAGGAAGCTCAACTACTAACCAATTCCACTGGCACCACCTGGAAAGGGGTATTTGAAGCATTTTTTTAACCCATCTGACACTAAGTGTAATTTGCTTGCTTGCTTTAAGGGATGCCTGAAAAACCTCACAGAGAATCCTGACTGGTTTTGTTTGTTTGCGTTAGGGAAAAATATTTTATTCTGCTCAGACAGAGTATAGGGAGCTCCAAGTTACCAGGACTATGAAAAATGAAATATTTGTATGGATTTGTATTTCATCTCTCCCACCTCATTTCCACAAAACCAAGGTAGAACGGATGACAAGGAAACTTTTTGTTAATAGATCTGTTATTTTCACAGTACTTCTCCTGAGGTTCTGATTCAAAAAGGGTGGGAGAGGTTTCCTGTCTTTTCTGCTGTTGCAAAAATCAAGCTTGCTGTTACAGAAGTGTAACACATTTGATATTTATTTGATAAATAACAAAACAGGGCACACAGGAAATCTGTCCTTCAGCACTAGCTGTGCCACTGACAGGTATGTGATAGATCAGGTGAGATGCATCACCTGGGAGATGCAATTTGGTTCCATCAGAAAGCTGATGCTGTAAGTACATAATCCCTTCTAGTTGGAAGCTCTGCTTTTAGTCTTATTTTCAAGAAAGAAGTAATTGGTAATACTCAGGGGATAATAACAATAGTGACAATAATGAAGTAAATCTGCCTTAGAGAGCTTTCTTATAAGGGAAAGAAATCTAGGGAAGCAAGGAAGGCAACCAGCTTGACTTAAGTGAGTGGCAAGAGAAGGCGGAAAAAAACCACCCAGCTGGGATGGAGGTTGTCCTGAGCTGTCACAGCTCTGCCCCTGGTACCCAGCTCAGGGTTTGTGCCCTCCTGCTGTGCCAGTGCCATGTCACAGCCACTCAGCTACTCCCAGCAGCTCAGTGTCTGCCACTATCCCATATCCCACAGCTTTTTGGGGGGCTGGATTCAAGGCCTGAGGGAGATCCATCAGCTGGTACCAGCACTGTCTGCTCAAACTCCTGCTCTCCCCCAGGGTTTAAACTTCAGCCACGCTCCAAAGATCTTGGGTAATCATTAGCCAGGGAATCAATGCTGTTTTTGCGTAATCATTGTGAGGTGATATCTCTGAGTTCTATTTGCTCTAGCAAATAACAGATAACAGATCTAAGAGAAATAGTCTGATGAAACACTTGAAACATAGGTCAAAAACCAGCTTGAAGGTGGGGTGGGAAGGCTATAAACCCTCCTGCTTCCCCAGCACCCATAGAACAAACTTTGCCATGTGGTTTTCCCCCAGCATGTCCACAGCACCTTCTGGATGCACTCCTAACATGGCTAAAGACACTTTCTGTTACATATTTCAAGGAAATGAGTTTCAGGGCAATTTCAAAACCAGTGCTATCACTCCATACACATCAGTATCTAACAGAAAATAATGAACTAAGCAGGGGAACATCTGCTCAGTGTGAATCCCTCTCTCCCTTGGTTTCCCTAACAAATACAAGATAATGTTAGAGGTTTGACCGTTTGGCATATAAAAAAATTTGCCTAGAATCACATAAAAATACAATTTTCAGCTGTGGGCCCCACTGTCATGCCCCCTTTCATTATAGCCTCTGTGGCTCCACGAATGGGTCACTGTAAAAATGAGGATAATTTCCCTACACACCAGCCCCACACAACAGGGAACAGATACCCAGCTCTGCATTTGATTTTTGGCTGCCAGGGTGCTGAGCAATATGATGTGGTGGGGAGACCTGACCAGCTGAAGTGCTGGCTCCTGGGGTGAGGCCACAAGGAGAAACTGGGAGCTGGTGACTGCAAACCACTTTGTGTGGTTCAGGAGTCACACTGGCTACATTTGTGGAGTTGTTCCTTGGCAGCGACTCTCACTAGTCACACCAGAGGCATGGGCACTGGGCATGGCTTATTGGGCAATCAGGGCCCTGCCCCACATAATTTTTTTATTCAGTGATTGCTGTCTATGCAGGGAAAGCAGAACACCATTTCTCCTCATACAGTCATCTTAATCCATCATTTTGCCTCAGGTGAGTGCTGTCCTGTTACAACTTGACACCGAGCCCCTCCTGGATCATGCCAAAAGTCCTTGTCATCCAGTATCCCATCTTTGTAGCAGCAGCCACCCAAAGATGCCTGTGGAAGAAGGTTTTCCTAACAGGACTCTCAGCTTTTCCCATGTCTGGAAGCAATTTTTGCATGCTTAGTAACTCCCAGTGCCTTGCTTCTCCATGCACGTGGGCCTTGGAAAGCTACCTTGAAACAGTGCAAACTCTATGTGCTTTGAAAGCCTGCACGAGCAGCAGGCAGAGGCCAACCTTTCTGCACATAAGGTAAGGACAGATGGCTGTCAATGCACTCTGAGCTCCCTGGAAGCTCAAAGGCCACCAGGAAGAAGGGGCCAGCAGAGGAGATAGCAGGCACCACCAGCTCCACCACTGCAGTGCACACTGAAGGAGGGATGCATTTTTGAGATGCCTCAAGGCCATAAACAGTTATCACTCTCCTAGGGAGAGCAGCTGATTTACTTAACTTTTTAAAAACTGACTTACTGCTGATAACCCTGACAAGCTTTAAACCTTTGATGGTGGACTATGGGCAAATTCCCAGGAAAGAATGGAGTCTGGAAAAGATTGTACTGTCTTGCAAAGTCTAACTTAGCTCCAACTAGATACTGAGGGATGACACAGAAGTACTTCCTTGTGGGTATGCAGGACACAAGCTGCATCCTTGTTGTGGCAGGCTGGCTCAGACTCATGGAGTCCAACATACTTACCAAGATTCACAGGTAACATAAATCACAGAAAGCAGCATGGATCTAATCCCTGTCATGCTGGCATTTCAGCATAAGTGTGCTCCATTATTGTTAGATAAGAAAATTACAGACTTTGCTTTCCTTTTGAAGTCACAACAAGGCATCTCTCACAAAGATAAGTGTCTGGGGCTAGTCCCCCTCTCGAGGTTATCTAGTAGTCAGATGCTAACCAGGAACTTCCATTAATTTGGGTCTGTACATTCCTCCCACCAGTCTCTATCATTTACAAAACACAGCTCCATTAGAAGTGAGTGACTTAATCTGATGGATGTTCTGCCAGCATTAACACATGCTGATATGCTGATAGCAGCTGCAGCCTTGGTACAAGTCTAAGTCAAATAATGGAAACTCGCTTTTACCGAATCTATTCAAACAGACTCCTTACAAGCAGATCTGTGAAAGAAGTTTATACACAAACATTACACTCTTACCTCTTCTCCTGCATGTTAACTACTGCATGTTTTAATGTTATAAAACTGAGACTGTTCCAGACACATTGTCTGGAAGCACAAACTGATTTAAAGGTCTGACTCAAAGCCCAGTAAATTTACGGCGGGGATGCTGTTCTCTTGCATCAAGTTAGTACAGAATTTAGTGCACTTAACCACAAGGAAGAATTCACATTTTTGTCATAATCTTTAAGTTATAGCAGGACACCAACGTTTTTACCTCTGCATCTTTCAGATATTCCTTGAGGTTGTTTGGGAAATCTCAGTCCTCATTCTATCTTTAAACTCTTTATTTGCAGTAGGAAAACCAGTGTTTTCACTGGGGTAGCTGTTTGAATGAAGAATTAAAAAATACAGTAGAGTTCTTTATTTTAAGATTGCATAAACCCACAAAGATACTCTATCAGAAAGTCAGAAGAGTGGTGACCACTTGGAATTGCAGCTTTGCTCAGAAATAAATATGTGTATTTTAAAAACGTAGCGTAAGAGATAAATAACCAATAGGTCTGAGCAAGCAGGGAGTCTGATATGTTTGAAAATTCAACTCCACTAAACATAATGGCCCAGCTGTCACAGTTGAGCATAGCCATGGTTCCCAGTTTATGTATTTATGTTTTTGAAGCAACTTTTACTATTAGTACAACTAAACACACTGAGAGCATTTCCAGTCAAAGGTAGAAGACATCAGTGGAAAACATAACACTGCAGCTGCAGGAAAACTCCAGGAGATGGAGACAACCTGAAAGTTCTGCAGGTCCACAGGCTTTGCAGTACCTTATGACCAACTTGCTGATTTTACAGGTATGAGACAAACACACTACCTATGCCTCATCTAAATACTTCTACTCTGAGAAAACACAAGGAGTGTAAGGCATTTTTTCCTGTATAAAATTAACTTCAGAACGTTCCAAACAGCATACAAATATTTACATGTGCATATATATATATACATACTGCCAAACAGTGCAGTATCATCTCTTGCTTTTACCACATAAACTTCAAGGAAAGCAAAGTAAGCTCAAATATTGCAGACCTAAAGGGAGCTTCCTGTTACCTTGTCACAGCCAAGGGAAGCTGTCATTACACAGCACTATAGCAGCCACTTGAGCTCTGGTACTGAAACTAGTGGAACCTCACACACACAAGGCTGACTTCTATGTCTGTGAGTTCCAGAACCAATTCCAAATACCAAATTGCACCTGTAAATCAGATCCTACAGATGTCCAAGGGCTATAAACTTTGCTGACAAAGCCACTGACTGAATCTCTGGCTCTAAGGCTAAGGTAAGCCTTGGCTGTTTCTCATAAGTTAAATAAAGCGAAAAATGTGCATGATGCAAATGCTTACTTGTCCATGTCAGTGTAGACCCACACCAAGTAATGGAACTTTTAGACTAAGGTAATGAAAAATTGAAGTTCTCAGCTTTTTTGCAGATTGCTCTCTTTAACAGCTGTGGTAACATGCAAGTATTGATTGCTTAAGTTACAAATTCTGATAACCTGAAATTGTGACATCCCTTCAGGAGATCAACACACCACTGCTCTGAAGGCAGACTAGCTTTGGTGGCCTGGGCTTCTCAGGAAGATTTTTCACAAGGTTCAGGAGGAGCTACCATGGCCCATAACACAACGGCAAACACACAATGAGAAACGTATTGCCCTCACAGGAGGACTTCAGATACACTCAATAGCAGTTCAAAAACTTTACTTGTGCTTTGCAGGCTACTATCCATCACTAGACTGGAGACTTTTTTCCTGTTTTCCCGTAATTATGCAGCTCTAGTTATGTGGCATTATTCACTATCTGTATAATAAAAAGTAATAAAAAACACCAGCAAACCAGGAGAAAAAAGTATTTCCCACATCTTTCCATTTCAAAGGCCAGTGTAACATGACACCAGATTTCCTTACTTGCTTCGTGGTCATACAATCCATATTTATACAAACTAGTGCAAATGAGTACATGTCATTCTGGAAGCTCCAGCAAATTTGGATCTCATGGAAAAGCCTGAGGCAGGATGCATACAGACAGAAGGGTGCTGGACACTGCCACCCCTGCACGGAGCCAGACTATGAGCGAGTGTACTGCACTGTGCTGTATTTGGTGACCCTGGAAGACTTGCTCAGTGTGGCACTGGCAGGAGATGGCCCTTGTGAGTCAGAGCCCATCAACTTAAGTGGGGAGTCTGTGATCAGAACATGCTCTTGCCTTCCTGAGCTGGCACCTGTTGCCTGTTCAGCTCTGCTCTGCAGCCCCGAGGCTGTCACTACCCTTTCATTCCGCACCGTGCTGTGTTCCTCTATTGCAGTAGGGAAGCTGAGTGAGCCCTGCTCTGCAGCAGGCACAAGGACCCTCTCTCGCTCCCTCACCACAACATACTGAGAGTCAGGAAGATCCTGAACTCTCAGGGCTCCTGGCCCTGCACCTGCTGACTTCACCATCCTTTCTGTAACCACCACGTTACTTCCGTGTGGCAAATCAGGGATTTTCACCATGCCCTGAATGCTCGATGCAGGTGCCAGCACCCTCTCTGTCACCACTACGTTCTCCTTAAACTGGGGGTCTAAAAATACTGGGGCTGAGCAGGCAGGAGCCCCCACAGAATAGGATGTTTCTGTCACGGTGACATTGCTCTCCGCGTGGCCTGTGGGGAGGTGCTGGGCACTGTGCTGCCCAGAATGGGATGATGAAAAGGTTGTTTCTGTGACCACCTCCTTGGACAGGGTGCTTTCTCCTGTGCTACTGCCTGTGTGCACAGGTGGGATGGACTGGAAACCACTGCCTGAGGCAAAGGCTTGTTCAGAGGTGGAAGCATTTTTCTGATGTAAGGACTGTGACTTTGCTTCACTAAGACCAAAACCTGATTCATTCTTGTAGCCACCGTCTTTCATGTTGATCTGTCTACCTATACATATTTCTGCTAGAGTCTTAAACTTGTCTCCTAAATCATCAAGAAAATGGTCATCAAGATCCCCCTCAATAAAGCTGCAGCAGCCAACGGAGCCGTGAGGGGAGCCTGATTCTCCCTGGGAATAAACCAGGAGACAGTCTTTGGCAGCTTGCTCTTCATCTTCTTCTGCAAAAGAGACAGCTTTCTGCAAACAGAAAACAAAAGCAAGCAAAAGTTCATTAATGCCAGCTCTAGACTTGGTAATTTTGAAAAATCAGAAATACTTGGACAATTCAACAAATTCAACAAAGGTTGAAATAAGAAATTGAACTGATCCCACAGAAACTGTCAACCAAGTGAGGGCTGTACCTAACATGCTTTTTTGCTTTTTTGAAATTAGTCTGAACTTGACAGTACACTTGATGAGAAGAAAAATCCAAGATTATATTTAAAGCCTTGGATACCATCACCACCTGCTGCTGTTCCTTCCAGTAAATGTGCCACTTGTGATACTGATCCACAATCATGAAGAAATTGTTTTAGTTTTAGTTCAATGAATGAACTTCACCTCTGACTAGGTTTTTGTGGGAGAACACCAAGACCATTTCTGAGAGTATCCTAACATTTAAACAAACATTTACTGAGTACATGCTGACATGTTTTCACCTACCATGGCCCTTTTCACTAGCACAGACTACAGGATCACATCCAAGATGCCCAATAGGACACAAAAAGTTAAATGGATTAGTAAAGCATGCATGCATAGTTCATCACATAAATTCTTAGGCTCTATGCAAGCTATCTGGTAACAAGGAATGCTCACAAGTTCTGGCTACAGTGCTTATAGGGTCAGCTCAATCTGAAAGCAGTGTCTGCCATGGAGCTGCTGCGGTGCTGGCACAAATATCTATGTATGTGTCAGCATCAGCTCCAGTTCCAAAAGTGAAGAAAGCCAAATCCTCTGGGCCTGCTGAACCAGCTTTATCTAATATGGCTCCTGGCTTGTGCTCAGAACCACCTTTCTGCCACATTTGAAGTTCTGGACTGCAAATTAGCTCAGGAGTCTGTGTAACATGCTATGTATCCAGAACCCATTTGACCCTGCATGTTTATCTGCATTTGATCCTGAAAGTAGGCACACAACCCAAGATTCTGCCACAAAAATCAGCAGCTGAATCTATTTGGTTTGGTTACTTGTCTGTTTCCTCACCCCTAATCCCTAAATATTTTAGCCTCCCAGAAGTTGTATGGATACTGAGTATGACTTTCCTCCTGCAGACTTCATTAGGCAGTCATGTTTAAAGTTATGTCACAAAGAGTGAAAGAAAAGGAGATTGCTACTGTTGCATCTGTTCACCCAGGAGACTAGTAGCTAGAGTACTCTGAGACATACAAGTACCTAAAGTTCAAATCCTTCCCTGGCCTGAGATGGTGACTGAAGTCTGCAAAGCTACTGCCCTGCAAAACCACATCAGCTGCCAGTTGTAGGGTGTGAAGACGTTTTGTTTGTGCAGGTGATGGTGCATGGAAGTCAAACTTTCACTACAAGGAGCTCACCAGCCAAAGGACTAATGATGTGTGTAACATGAAGAGAAGTAGCTTCAACAAGTAGGAACAACCTACTGGCCAATGGTTAGGTCAGTAAAAAAAAAAAAAAAAAGAAAGGGGATTGCAACAT